GCCATCTCCCTAGGCCCCTTGGGCGGCACGGTGGCTCAGTGGTTAGCACGGCTGCCTCACAGCACCAGGGACCCAGGTTCGATTCCAGCCTCAGGTGACTGTCTGTGTGGAGTTTGCACATTCTCCCCGTGTCTGCATGGGTTTCCTCTGGGTGCTCCGGTATCCTCCCACAGTCTAAAGATGTGCAGGTTAGGTGGACTGGCCATGCTAAATTGCCCATAGTGTCCAGGGATGTGTGGGTTAAGTGGATTGCCAGGGGAAAATGCAGGGTTACAGGGACAGGGTAGGGGTCTGGCCAGACGCTCTTTTGAGGAAAGGTATGGACTCAATGGGCCAAATGGCCTGCTTCCACACTGTAGGGATTCTCTACTCATTCCTGGAACATGTGGATAACAAGGATACCTCCATCAGGCTTCTACTTATTGACTACAGCTCCACCTTCAATATTGTAATCCTAAAACAAACTAATCTCCAAACTCCAAGACCTAGGTCACTGCTCCACCCTCTGCAACTGGATCCTCAACTTGCTGACCCACAGATCGCAATCAGTGAAGATAAGCAACAGCACCTTCTCCACTACAATCCTCAACAGCACTACCCACCCCGCAAGGCTGCGTACTCAGCCCCTTTCTGTACTCCCTCTACACTCATGACTGTGTGGCCAAATTCCATCCTAACTCCATCTACAGGTTTGCTGACAACACCACCACCGTAGGCCGGATCTCAAACAATGATGAGGCAGATACAGGAAAGAGACAGAATGCCTGGTAACCTGTTAAAGATAATACACTCTCTCTCAACATCAGCAAAACTAAACAGCTGGTTATTGACTTCAGGAAGCGAGGTGGAGGGCACGTTCCTATCTACATGAACAGTGCTGAGGTGGAAATGGTCAACAGCGTCAAGTTCCTAGGAGTGACTATCACCAACAATCTGTCCTGGACCACCCACGTTGATGTGACGGTCAAGAAGGCCCAATGATGCTTCTACTTCCTCAGAAGGCTGAGAAAATTTACAATGTCCATAAGGACTTAGGAACTTTTACAGTCACACCACAGAAAGTATTCCATCTCGATGCATTGTGGCTTGGTATGGCAACTGCTTTGTCCAGGACTGTAATAAACTACAGAGAGTTGTGAACACAGCCCAGTCCATCACGCAAGCCAACCCTCCATCAATTGACTCCATCTATACTTCTCACTGCCTCAGAAAGGCAGGCAACATCAAAGTCCCTTTCACCCCAGTTATACTCTCTTCTGACCTCTTCCATCAGGCAGAAGATACGAAAGCTTAAACACATGTACCAACAGATTCAAGAACAGTTTCTTCCCCACTGTTAGTAGACTTTTGAATGGAAGTCTCAAATTTCAAATCTAATATTGCTCTTGCTTTTTGTGCACCTTCTCTGCAGCCATAACATTGTATTCCTCACCTGTTCTATCGCACTATGAACTTTGTATGGTATGATCTGCCTGTGTTGCATGGAAAACAGAACTTGTCACTGTACCTGGGTAGATGTGACAATAATAAATCAAATTAAAACAAATCAAAAAAGTTGTATTGATGTCAAGGCCTGTCATTCACACCTCTGGAATTTAGCTTTTTTGTTCATAGAATCATAGAATCCCTACAGTGTGGAAACAGGCCCTTCGGCCCAACAAGTCCACACCAACCCTTGGAACATCCCACCCAGGCCCATCCCCCTATAACCCACCTAATCTACAGACCCCTGAACACTACGGGCAATTTAGCTTAGCCAATCCACCTAACCTGCACATCTTTGGACTGTGGGAGGAAACCGGCGTACCCGGAGGAAACCCATGCAGACACGGGGAGAATGTGCAAACTCCACACAGTCGCCCGAGGGTAGAATTGAACCCGGGTCCCTGGTGCTGTGAGGCAGCAGTGCTAACCACTGAGCCACCGTGCCGCCCCATGTTTGGGCCAAAGTTGTAATGAGGACTGGAATCAAATAGTCCTTCCAGAATTCAAACTGAGAACTGGCAGACAGATTATCAGTGAATAAGGAGCTGTTCAATAGCACTGTTGATAATCACTTCCAAGACTTGGTTAATATTTGAGAGTAAGCTGATTGGGTGTTAGTTGGCCGATTTGAATTTCCTGCATTTTGTGGAAGCATGGAAATGTAGAGGGGTCTGGCTGTTCAAGTGCATGAATCAAAGAAGATTAGTATGCAGGTAGTGAGTAATCAGGAAACTAATTAAAATTTTATTGTGAGGGGAATTGAATGCAAGGTTGGGGAGGTTATGCTTCAGTTATTTAGGGCATTGATGAGACTGCATCTACAGCACTGTGTACAATACTGGTCATAAATACTGTATTTATGGAAGGATGTTAATACGTTGGAAGCAGTTCAGAGAAGGTTTACTAGACTAATGCCTGGAATGAGTGCCTTATGAGAAAAGGCTAAACCGGCGAGATCTGTATCCTCAACAATTTAGAAAACTGAGTGGTTACTTAATTGAAATATGTAAGATCCTGAGGGGACTTGACTGGTTGGATGTGGAAAGGATGTCTCTTTTTGTGGGAGAATCTAGGTCTACGAGCATTAGTTTAAAAGTAAGAGGTTATCCATTTAAGACGGAGTTAAGGAATTTTTTTTTCTCTTAGAGTTGTGAATCTTTGGTATTCCCTTCCTCAAAAGGCTGTTGATGCAGAATCTTGAAGTATATTTAGGAAAGAGGTGGACAGATTCTTAATTACCAAGGGGATAAAAAATTACAGGGGGTATCCAGGAATGTAGAGCTGAGGTTAAAATCAGAGCAACCATGATCTGATTGAATGGCAAAGCAGACTTGAAGGGCTAAGTGGCCTATTCTTTTTCCATGACCACATGTTTGTAAAGATGTACCTAGACAATTTTCCACTTTTTAGCCGGATACTAGTGTTATAGCTCTACTGGAAGAGGATGACTGCAGGTGCACCTAGGTCTGGAGCACAAGTCTTCAGCTCTGTAAACAGGAATTTGTAAGGATGCGTAGCCTTTGTTGTATGCAATGTTTGTTGATATTACATGGAGTGAATTTCTTTGGCTTCTGCAATGGTGGGACCTCAGGAGGAGAAATGCAAACCCTTCAGCACCGTATTTATACAAATAGACAAACATTGGACAAGAAGATACATATTTGTCTACTCAGCCTTATCTAACTGCATTTAGTGGAGAGAAACCAAGCAGTTATGTTATTTCCATTTAAGACTAGATCAGGAGAAAAAAGCATAAACTGCAATGTCTCTGAATAGGAAGAAGGAAAATCCAAGGAAAATCACAGCTGAGCACTTGCTCAAGCATCCTGGCAACCAGTTACAGGGACACTATGAACAGCCTAAAAGTGGGCAAGGTGAGTGAAAGCAAGGGACTAACAACTGCTCAAAGCATTTCTATACAGCCAGGAGTAACACACCTGTTCCTACTATACTGTTTCCACTTCAAACAGTATAACTTACATCTTATGAGACAATATTAAGCAGTCCCTTCAAGAATTGCTATTTTAGCTGATCCAGTAATGGAAAAAGTGAGTGGAACATTCACAGCCCCTTGATTAGGATAATCAGAGACCCTGTGTTGCTGACGGACTATAGAGCACTTGATCCAATTGGCAGCTGAAGGTTGTGCAGACCAGGTTTGTAAAATAAGCAAATGAGGGGTGAATTTCTCTATCTTTATATATTCTAAAGCTATTTACAAAATTAGAGCACAACAGAATGATTTTAGCTCTCCGCTACTGGCAGGAAAGGGGTAGGACATCAGCTAAAATAGACTTGTTCTATTTCCTGGTCTGTTCTAGCTGATGTGTGCTTTCAACACAGCTGACCTTTCATGGTGCAGGAAAGTTCCATGAAACTTTGCTGATGTTGCATTAATAAATGAAAACCAGAATCCTATAAGACACATGGAAATGGAATTTTAACCTGCTCATGCATTGGGTAGCCTGCCATGGTCCCCATCAGGTGAACCTACCAGAAGTAATCAAGGCCACTTAGGTAAATTGCCAATCATTTCTTTACTGGAGCATTCATCTGCTTTCGTTGCTCTTCCAAGCATCTCCTTACTGGGAGTAAGGAGACTACGGACCATTCCTTTCTAAATATGCTGTAGTCTCATTCTGAAGTTGGCCTGTAGGATGCCTGATTTTCATCTCCCTCCTTCAGCCAGCTGTCACCTTTTGCTTTAAATGGGTTCCGACAACTAAATGCTGATAGCCTCCGATACAAACTCACATAAAATTTCCATCCACTCCCACCCTGAATAAAAATTGGGCTAAAAAATCACAGTTATTACAGAGGTTGTTCACAGAGATCTGTTGGCTATCATTTGGATATAGCAACTGAGCGTCAGCAAATGGGTTGAGTGAAAATATCACACTTATACCTATAAACATGCAGAAATTAGACTTTGCAGATGGGGGATTTTTTTGTTTTGTGGATCTAAAGTACAAATAAAACATAGTACATCATAGCCATGTCCATCTACAGTTTACAACAGTATGCTTCTGAAGCGTTATCGGTCTGAAACTTATACTGAGATAGACAGAGTTAAAAATAGTATTCATTCAACATCCAGAACTTTTACTGTCAAATGGAGGTCAGATTTTAGCTGACTTTGACCCCAGTTGACCATAAAAATGATATGTATTTCAAATTTGTGGATTACCAGTATAGCAGACTAAAGACAGAATGAGTCAGACATTGTTTCTTGCTATCTGATTAACAAAAGCAGCTTTGTCTTTTTGTTGATAGTTGGAAGTAAAAATAGATTTAGCTTAAACCAAGTCAAAACATAAGACACATTCATCATGTCTAACCTGCAATGTTGCAGAAGATCATTTTTAGTAGCACTCCGTATTTGCAGTAGTAAAGTGCTGCCAAGCAGGCTTCTCTTTTTTTTGTGTTACCGTGGAAACTGAACATAGCTGTTCACAAGAATTAACTGCATTAAAATGTGAAATTCAGCATACGGCCCAGGTCCAAATATTCCTCACCTGCACTGTGACGCGCAACATATCCCAGTGCCCAAGCTGCTGCTTCCTTGACTCCTGGATCAAACTCTTCTAGGCAGATCACCAGCGCATCCAGTGCCCCACAATCCACCACTGCTTGGGCTAATTGAGGAGAGTGTTTAGCTACAGCTCTCAACACAAACGCTGCTGCTTTCTTGTAGAAACGCTTTATAAAAATAAAAGTATTTGGTAAGTAGTTTATCCAAATAAAGCATTGCATTACTTAATGCTTTCCCGTGGTTCCAAAAAACCTGTTTCTTTTATTCTTTCATGGAATATGGCCATCACTCGCAAGGCAGACATTTGTTGCCCATCCATTAAACTAAGTGGCCTATCTCAGAGGGCAGTTAAGAATCACATGAGGGCCAGACAGCAGATTTTCTTTTGCAGAGGAAAATGATGAACCAAATGGGGTTTTACAGCAATTAATGATAGTTCCATGGTGATGATAACTAAGATCAGCTTTCAATTCCAAATTTTATTCATTCATTGAATTTAAATTCCACCAGCAGTCACACTGGGATTTGAAGATGTTCCACAATATTGTGACATTACCACCATGCCAGCATCTCTCCTGTTCGCTACGACATACCATGATAACACAAATATATTTTGTTTATAAATGGCTTTTTGCAATATCTAAAAAGGTTTCGTTGACAATGTTCTTCAAAAGGGCTATTTTTGTCCTTATAAAATAGCACACCTGTTATTTCACCATGCTTGTGAGACCATACACTGGCACAACTGTTGACGTAATTATACTATACTCATCCATCGTGTCTACTTTGTTAAAAATATAAAGGTGAACATGACTATATGAAAATTACATTGCAAAATCTTAGACTGTAGCTGATAGATTATCTGCTGCAGCGTAAGCTTTGAGAGTCTACCAATGTGGCAGTTCTGAATCAAAAGAAAGCCAAATAATAAACGTTCTTTTCATTAAATTTAGTTTCTTTATATAAATCAACACAAAAACCATCGTATGACAAGATTAAGTAACTGGAGTTTTCACGATGTGGACAGAAATAACAATCAGCAGCATCAAAATGTGAATCACCATATTCATTACCTGGAAGTTAAATTCTATAAACCATTTAGGACCTACATATAAATGATCAATTTACTTTAATGTACCTTGTGTATCCTTTCTCTTTTGAGAAAAATTATTACTTTTTTTGAAATGTATAAAGACGGCAACTTAATTGGATTTTTCCCTAAACAGTTTTGAAACAATGTGTCATCACTACAATCACCAACTTTAAAGTCAGGAAGATAGTTTTGCCCAAGGGACAAACAAATTGCTTGCATGTGCAGCTAAACTCTACATGAACTGGCTAATTAGCTTCCTTCACTTGCCCTCAGTCTGTAAAGTATGATAGGCCTTTTGTGACCCTGCGCTAATCTGCTGGTGCCCTCAATGATCCTAGCTAACCACTGTCTCACAGCTGCCTGACATAATAAAAAACAATGTGCAAAGCCTCTTCAATGCAAGCAATTTATGCTGTTTTTAAGCGGGATCCCTTCAGCAGGGGAAAAAAATATACAAGACTAGCTCTCAGTTGGAATTTAATCACATGGCATTTATTTTAAGAAATACTGTAATTCTTCTGAGGAGTAGAGCACTACCTTTATGATAATGCCAATTTTCTCTTTTTTTTATTTCTGTACAAAGGAAATATGTCTTACATTTTGTTCTGCCAATGAATACACAAGCTGCGGAAGAATGTCTCCCTTAACAACAGCCTCAGCCAGATCATCATTGTAATTAGCTAGACGTCCCAGTGCCAAAGCTGCTGTCTGCTGAATGTTTGGAACCACATCCAGTAAGAGGGGCCTCAAAAGAGACATCACACCTATAACAAAAATGAAAAACGAAAATCATATTTTATAGTTTTATTCTACAACACTTTTTTTTAATTCTACAATATTATAATTTCTTAGAAAGCACTGCTTCTTAATCATGCTTGTTCATCAACCTTTTCTTCGTTAATTGTTTTTTGCTCAATAGCAGATATGAAACAGTTCTTTTAAAGAGAAAAATGTTATGAGAAATAGCAAAAATATAAAAGAACCAAAGTAATAATAACCATTGTCAGAAGACATCAATTTAGTTATCCAAATTAATTTAAAAGTAGAAGAATAAGGGTTGTATTCTCCATGAGAGGCATCTTATGCCATACGCTGGCAAGATAAGAAAAATTTGATCTTGCAAAAATGGATAAGCAAAATACTGTAAGCAAATTGAATAACAGAATATTTCTTTTTAAATTAATCAGATATTCACTCAATAACATTAATTTTCTCTTTCAATTGCAACATAAGTGCCAGTTCTCCAGGTAATGACAGAAATTGCTGGTTTGACCATTTTCCATCATTTTCTGAGGAAGGGTCACTGGACCCGAAATGTTAACTCCAATTTTTTCTTCACAGATGCTGCCAGACCTGCCGAGCTTTCCCAGCAACTTCTGTTTTTGTTACCATTTTCTATCCACCACTGAGAAGTCACTTCCAATCTAACACTCATTCAGCAATCTGGCCAAGATTCAGTACAGTTTACGTTAAAATAATCATCAAAATGAAATATACTTCAGCCAAAAGGAATTGGGTATTCTACTATCATACCTATAGAGCTGATAAATCTACTTCTTTGGACCATTTTGTACATTATAGCTTTTGGGAAATTGGTAGAAATTCATTGGCAAGTAACAAAAAAAAATAGATTTTTCTATAAAATCTGTGTCATGACAACATTTTCAACATTACACAAGTGACATTTCAAAAGTACCTTATTGGCTGTAAATTTTTTCTGGAAAGTCCTGGAGTTGTGAACACAAGTTAACACATTAACACAAGTCATTATTTTCCTTTTATTGAACTCAGAATAGATAATATTATTTTGAAACAAAATATAGGCTAAATTATGGTACTGCATATAATGGAAATGGAATCAGTGTTTAATGAACTATGGTATATGGGCTTACTGGCATGGCTAGCCTTTAATAGCTGTCCCTAATTGCTCCTGAGAAGATGATGATACACTGCTTTCTAGAACTGCTGTTGTCCAAGTTATAAAGATACATCCAAGGTACTGTCCAAGGCAGACTTTGAGCCAATGTGACAATATTGATCTACTTCACCCTATCGTGGTGTTCCCAATCGACTGCTGACCTAGTTTTTCTGGGTGGTGGAAGCGGTAGGTTTGGAAGGTTGAAAGAGCCTTGATATGTAGCTACAGTGAATCTAATAAGTGGCATACACCTCTACCACAATGCATCAGTGGTAGATGATGAGAATGTTTAGGACACTGACTGGGTACCTCTTAAGTGAACTGTTCTGTTCTGGATAATGTCAAGCTTTCTGAGTGTGTAGGAGACATATTTTTCTAGGTAAATGAAGAATATTTCATCACACGTCTGATTTGTCCCTTAGTTGTTGCAGAATACTGAGCCTCTGTCCTGCCCTTGTAGCCATATGATTTGCATTAAGGATCACCTCAACTACTTTGACGCAGGGGAAACCAAAATAGCAATGCTGCAGGGAGATAGTTAGATGCTTTCTTGTTGGAGATGGTTCTTATACAGAAATAAGAAGACAAAACTGATGAATATGTGGCTGGAGAGGTGGTACAGGATGGATAGCTTCAGAATTCTGAGACACGAGGACCACATCTGGGGCAGGTGAAACCAGCTAGATAGGTTGCATCTCAACAGGGTGTGGACCAATATCTTCACAAGGGGTTTTGCTCACGCCGTTGTGAAGAATTTAAACTGGTTTAGCAGCGGGGTGGAAAGCTGACAGCAGATTCAGAAAGGAGAGAAGAAAGGCTGGAAATGGAAGGTAGAAAACCATCAGACCCCTTTGAAAAGCAAAGGAAACAAAGGAAATAGAGAAGGGAATTCAACAGTGCTAATTGGTTTTACACTTCAATGCAAGAAATCTGGGGAATAAAGCAGATGAGTTGATAGTACAATTGACACATGGGATTATGATTTTATGGCTATAACTGAAACATGACTGAAAGAATAGCGAAATGACAGCTCAATATTCTTGGTTACAGTGTTTTTAGATGAGCTAGAGAAGAGGATAAGCTCAAAGGCGGGGGTCATAATATTGAATAAAGAAACAAGGATAGGTTAAATGATAGAAATAAGGTTAAATAAGGTAATATAAGACAAACTGAAAAATAAAAAGGAGTAAACACACTTCTGGGAGTGTACACAAAACCCAAAACAAGTGACAGAAGAGCAAGTTTTTTTTCTAATTTTCCTGGGGGATATGAATATTACTGGCTGGCCAGCATTAATTGCCCATCCCTAGTTGCCCCTAAAAAGGTGGTAGTGAGCCTCCTTCTTGAACCACTGCACTCTATGTGCTATAGGATGACCCATAATGCCATTTGGGAGGTAATTCCAGGATTTTGACCTGGCAACAGTGAGGGAACAGTGATATATTTCCAACTGAGGATGTTGAGTGACTTGGTGGGGAACTTGCAGGTGGTGGTGCTCCCATATATCTAGTGCCCTTGCCCTTCTAGAGAGGGAGGGACCATGGGCATGGAAGGTGCTGTCTAAGGACCTCTGCAGTGCAACTTGTAGATCATACACACTGCTGTTACTAATCGTCTGTAGTGGAGGGAGTGGATGCTTATGGATGTGGCATCAATCAAGTGGCTGCTTCATCCCGGATGATGTCAAGCTTCTTGAGTATTGTTAGAGCTGCACTCATTCAGGAACTCCTGACTTGTGTCTTGTAGGTGGAGGACAGGCTTTGGGGGATCAGTAGGTATACCTATAGTATACCTAGCCTTTGACCTACTCTTGTTGCCATTGTATTTATATGGTGAGTTCAGTTGAGTTTCTAATGAATAGTAACCCCCAGGAGGTTGATAGTGGGGTCTCAGTGATGGTAATGCCCTTGAATGTCAAGGGGCAATGGTTAAGTAGTCTCTTATTGGAGATAGTCATTGCCTAACATTTGTGTGACGTGCACGTTACTTGTCAGCCAAGCCTGGATATTGTCCAGCTTTTGTTGCATTTGAACATGGAGTGCTTCAGAATCTGAGGACTTGAGAATGGTGCTGAACATTGTGCAATCATCGGCAAAATTCCCACTTCTGGTCTTTGATGGTGGGAAGGTCAGGAATGAGGTAGCTGAAGATGTTTGGGCCTGGGATACATCCATGAGTAACTTCTGCAGGGATGTTCTGGAGCTGAGATGACTGACCTCCAACGACCACAACGATTGTCCTATGTGCTATATGATTCTAACCAACACAGAGTTTACCCCCTGATTCCTGCTGATTCCAGTTTTGCTAAGGCTTCTTGATGTTTCACTTGGTCAAATGTGGCCTTGATGTCAAGGGCCGGCACTTTCACCTCACCTCCAGAATTCAGATCTCTGGTCCATATTTGAATCAAGCTGTAATGAGATCAGGAGCTGAATGGCCCTGTGGAACCCAAACTGGGGTGTCACTGAGCAGGTTATTATTGAGCAGGTGCTGCCTTATAGCACTGTTGATGACATCTTCTATCACTTTGCTGATGATTGAGAGTAGATGGATGGGGTGGTAATTGGCTGGGTTGAATTTGTCCTACTTTTTGTGCACAGGGCAAACCTGGGCAATTTTCCACACCGTCTGGTAGATGCTAGTGTTGTCACTGCACTGGAACAGCTTGGCTACGGGTGAAGCAAGGTCTGGAGCACAGGTTTACAGTACTTTACTGCAATGTTGTCAGGGCCCATGGCTTTTGCAGCATCCAGTGCCTCCAGTAATTTCTTGATCTCACATTTGGTGAATCAAATTGGTTGAAGACTAGAATCTGTGATTCTGGGGACCACTGGGGGAGGCTGAGATGGATCGTCCACTTGGCACTTCTGGCTGAAGACTGTCATGAATACTTCAGCCTTATCTTTTGCAGTGATGTGCCGGGCTCCTCCATACTTGGGGGTTAGAATATTGTGGAGCCTCCAGTGTGTTGTTTAATTGTACATCACGCTCCATGGCACACTTCAAGGGCACCAATCACTTGCACCCCATGTCCATGGACACTGGAATCCGCAATGTACCAGCCTCCAAGGCCTCTCCTGATAAATCTCTGATCCATTTAGAGTGCATTTCAATGCTGCACCTCAGGCTGCACCAGCAACTATCATTATGTTACTGCTACAAAGACACTGGGTACTCAGCATCCAACTGATACATAGACCAGGCTGCACTGTATAAAGCATGAGCTAGGCCATAGCTAGAATACTACCTGCAGATATTATCCCTGCAGTATAGAACAAATGTCATTACTTTCAAGAGAGTAGACAAGAGGCAAAGGGGTGGGAAAAGAGATCTGACATGGTGCGGGGGGTGGTAAAACAGGTGAAGCTGGGGAGGAATCCATTTACCCCGGACCTGTTCCCTCATCCCAACCCGACCCGATGCCCCTGCAGGATCTCTACCCACCCGATCTCTCCCCTTATCCCCAGCCCAATCGCTCTCACAAAGTCCAATCTCTCTCCCGCTCCCCCTCAATATCTCCCTTCCTACACCCTCCCCGGTCCAGCCCCAATGCCCTCCTTGTTCACAGCCATATCTGTTAATGCACATGTGTGCTCACAGGGAACAGCAGGCTTGCTCCATGGTGTCAGCAAACGGAGCCTTCTTGATATTACTTGGAATGAATCAAGTAGGTTGAAGTCTGGCATCTGCGTTTCTGCGGAGATCAGGAGGTGATTAAAGTGGATCAATTATTCACTAGGCGGTCCTAGCTAAAGATGTTTGTAAACATTTTAGCCTTCGCTTTTGCACTCATAGTGAGTTTCACCATCATTAAAGATGGCAATGTTCATGGAGATTCCTCCTTCT